CGGCAAGGTGTTACTTGGAGCTCGTTCAAAACTGACACTGTGAAGAGTGTACCGCGAAGGCCTGGAGTCAGAGTAATGCTGAGATAAGGCAGCCTGCTCATTAAGTGCCTTTAGGTGACCATGCAGCGCTATCAGAGGTGGAGGATTCAAACCCAACACACAAAGTCTTTAAAAACACAAGAGCGCAGCACGAGTTACTGCGTGAAGACGGGCTCTGATGTGACAGGGAACAGTTAACACTGCAGACAGCCCCAGGAAACCAGGGAGCCTGCTCCTGTCTCGCTGTCAGCTCCTCTTCTCCAGGATTCCGTTACAAGGCTTGCTGAACTCCGAAAAAAACAACACGGAACAGAGAGACGCTTCTCCCGGGAAGTCAGAAATCCAGAAATCGGGGATGAAAGGATATATTTGGAAATGCAAGGCAAGGGAAAAAGTAACAAGCCTGAGTTCATTATTTACTCTGTATTCTGCTAATTAACGTGGACAAATCAGGAAATCAGGTCTGGTGAGGACATGTGAGGGCCTCCAGATTTGCACAGCCTAGTAAGGAAAATCTGCAGATTAGTGCCTTTCACAGATGGGGGGGGGGGGGATAGTTTATAAATTGGATTGTGCTGAGATAAAATTATAGCAGATTCGCAAATGCCTAGAATGTTCGGTTTTGGGAAAGGTTTGCCTGTTTTGCACTGCCACCCCGATTCGGAATTAAAATCCTGAAACGCCTTTCATCCCACTGTGATGTCCCATATGCGCTACATACTGCATGGTGAAGGCTGAAGAAACAGGGAGGGACAGCATCACATGTAAGGAAAATATATCCATGCACACAGCTGGTACTTGAAGTCACAGCTGTCACTGTAAATGAACAGGGTACACACATACATAGAGCAACTTGAAAAGTTGTGTGGTGGCTCTGTGGCTCAGGATCTGCGCCTGTGGCTGGGAGGATGCCGGTTCGTATCCCGTGGCCGGCTGAGGAATCCTACTCCGTTGGGCCCCCGAGTAAGACCCTTAACCACAGCTGCTCCAGGGGCGCTGTATAAATGGCTGACCCTGCGCTCTGACCCCCAGCTTCTCTCCCTGTCTGTGTGTCTCATGGAGAGCATGCTGGGGTCTGCGAAAAGACAAATTCCTAATGCAAGAAATTGTATAGGGCTGATGAAGTGATCTTATCTTGAAGATCCAACGTATTACTCTAAGGGGAACAACATGAGCGCTATCTTCAGGGAATTCACATACTGGGGGAGCATGGTGGCGCTGTGGTTAGCATTGCGAACTCACAGCGCGGGGTAACTGGGGTCAATTCTCGGGTTGCTATCTGTGCGAGGTCTGCATGTTCTCCCTGGGAGCTCCCCTTTCCTCCAAAGGTCAAAGACACAGCGTGCTACGCTAACTGGCCGGACCTGGTGTGAGTGTGTCCCCGCTGGTGTCTGGGGTCCCCCATCTAGGGTGCACCCTGCTTTTGCGCCCATTGCTTGCTGGGGTTAGGCTCCAGCTCCCCCCGCGACCCAGAATTTGAAGAGGTTAGAAAACGGATGGAGGGAAAAACGAAACAGCCCCAATTCGTCAGGGTGCAAGAGACCGAAGAGTGACTGGGTAGGGATGAAACAGCTGTCGCGCTGAAGGCGCAGCTGTAGAGGAGAGACCTCACCGCCTGTCAGCGGCGTTACAATCTGTTTCGCACCCAGTCCCTGCTGCTGACCGGCCGTTCCTGAGCAGGCAGGGGCGACAGCTGGATGCCAGATTAAAGCCCAGGGAAGACTCAGCGCACCGATCCGTGATGCGGAGGGCGGGCGGCTGGGTGATAAAGGACAGGCAGATTTGGCTCGAAGTTCACCGAACGCTCCTGGAAAAGAGTACGTTTTGAATGTTGCACCGGTGCTTTTGTTAACTCAACACGGCACGGCGAAGACATAAAGACAGGTGGACTTACAGACAGATCAATGGATCACAAGACGGCAAGCGTGTTAAACAGAAAGGTATTCTTTGAGATCGTCTGCTCTTAAGTACACTGACTGGGGGCACGACAACAGCTCCGCTGCCACTGGGAAATGTAATCAGATATTTCGCGATACCGTTCCTCCCATTCCTGCCCAACAGCTCTCTTTTCTTAATTAAACTGCGCTCGGAAACAGGTCTCCGAGTCTCCACAGCGGAAAGGCAATTATCGTTCTCTTTACGCGACGACAACACGCTCCTGCAAGGGCTGACAGCCCAAATTTAATTTGAAAACAATTACAATCAGACCGCATCACTGCAACATGAGCACAGCTATGAGCACAAACAAGCTGCAGACGTTCAACTGCCTCGAAACCTTGAACTTTCACGCGAGGAAAAAAAAAATCGCATTCCGGGAAATTAATTTTAGATGCTACTTCATCACCTTTTAAGAATCATAAATAGTTTATATATCGTACTGAAAATCTGCACGCAGCTCCGTATTGATGATAAAACAGTGCCATTCTCAAAAGCCATATTCTTATCATCTTCCTGTTTTGTAAAGAAGTAGTTCAGTGTTACTGCATCTACAAACACTAAATATCCATATATCAGGTCTGCATTGAAAAAACACTCGATGGAGGTCTTCAGAGCCTTATCAGTAACTCAGCCCTTTAAGAACAACCTATCTGCAGCAATCAGTAAACCTTTCTGCTCCCTAATTAGACAAACGTGATGACAACTGCACATCGCAGACTGCATCACTGATGGTTATATTTCACGGAAAGAACCAAATGAAACCTGTGGCCTCCAGTAGACATTGTGACGTTTGATAATGGACAGGAAGCCACGTGTCTGGTTTTTGTCCAAGTCTTCTCGAGGAAGAGCAACGAAGAACGAGCACACGTCTCGTCAGAGCCTGAAAGGGCCTCTGTGCTGAATTTTAATTAATTAATTAGTACACCCAGGCCGGGGGGGGAGGGGGGAGGCCCTCTGGGCTCACAGGCATTAGCGGACTAAACCGCGTCCTTATCGAGTCCTTCGTCCATTTCCCTTCGCCAGCGAGAGTTTCCCAGCTCCTTTCCCGTGGCGGAGGGGGAACAATCTCTTCAACGCACCTCGGAGGGGCCAGAGCAAATGGGTGGTCAGCGCAGCAGGCTCCTCTCGGGGAGGTTTCGGGGTGCACCGCGGCCGACACCGCAGTGACACCCCTCGAGAGGAGCAATGTACCCCCCCACTGCTCTGGAACATATGTGGGAGCAGCTCGGAAACGGATACACCTGCCATCAGCTAGCACCCCCTGCAGGGAGGGGCAGGCATAAACCCAGTCTGCTTACCTCCAGCATCAGGGCTCCAGCACAAGCTACAGATTCTTTACCTGCACTTCCTCAGAATTAGCAGGCAGCCCACCAAAACTGCCTAATATCCGTAACACGGCGAGAAGCAATGACAGACAGAACAAAGGAAGATCTTTTCAAAAAACGAGCAGAATTTTTTAATTTATTTTTTCTCTTCTCGTGTTCTAACACAGCACTTGCTTGCTGCAAGGGAGTTGAATTTGGGACTGGACATGAAGGGCGCCAAAAAGGCAACATTCTGTATTCCTTAACGCAACAGGCGCAGATATTATCAAGGCAAAAACTAGGCAGATTTCGAGGCTGATCTTGTTTCAGAGGATCAGCTGGCAATAAGCATGGTCATACCAGAGAGACGGAGGGAAAAAAAATTGTTCTCTGACCAAATCTGGGAAATTTCATGCTTAATCATAACTGGAATGAGGCCCAGAAGGCAGATGAAGGCAGTAACTGGACTGGAACTACCAAGAGCGATGCTCTCGGAAGGGAGAACAGCATCCCACTTGTCCTGTACGCCGGCACACACTGCACTGTCAGACCCCTGTCACGTCCCGGGGCAGGTCGGCGTGACCCACTCCAACTGCCCCAGCGGGAGGAGGGGGGCAGGGGGCCAGGGCAGACACAGCTGGCTGTCAGGAGCCAGAAACAGCGCAGAGAGGCCGAGCCAAAAAGCAGAAGGCTTTCAGAACCCGGGCCCTGCAGGGGGCACCGGTGGGGGGGTGGGGGATCTTCTGCTTGTAATTGTCAGCACTGCTCTCACTCTGCTCACTCAGCAGGAAGAGATAGCAGCGAAAAAACAAGTTTTCAAAGTGTTGCTTAAAAAAAACCCACAAGAAATTCCCTGCAGAGTGATATTCAGGGCCAACTCGCATCGCAGAGCCTCTTGGGAGGAGTTTTATTAGTCTTTTTTTTTTAAAAAAAAAAAAGCTTGGCTCTTCAGCGAGAAGCTGGCGGTACGACCCAGAGCCCCGGCCCCCAGACAATCCTGACATTTTAACATCCAGACCTGCAGCTCAAGAAAAGCACCTGGAGCAGAAAGACCAGCTGGGTTTGATCTGCCTCGTCACAGGATCCAAAACCCCCACAGGTCTGCCAATTCCAGAGCCTGGACCCGTCTGAACCAGCTGCAGACATTCGTACCCCTTCGCTTTCTGAGCTTGGTGCCACTCTGAACCACAGGACCATGCGCTCACTAATGCTGGAAGCACATATCATTGGTACAAATGGGAGCATCAAGATCTCGACACCAACAGCATCAACACCTGCGACTGCGGGAGATCTAGTCCAGCACTTTGCCGACGTGACAGGACACCAGCTTCCTATTGAAGTAAGTGCTACCAGACTCCTAAATAATCTTATACTCTACACCCTAAAAATAGAGTACACATTGCAGACTACCTACATACTCAGGTCTGACAACAGATAAGCCAACAGGTACAGAACAGCTCACATCCCCCACAGCTTAATTACTTCAATTTAGCAATTAACAGCTGAGCTGTAATTAACAGGGGTGGGCTAGGAGAGCAATGCCTTGATCTCCAGCCCCTCCCCTCCCCACCTCCACCAGCCCCAGCTGTGTGATCAATACTCAAGTCAGTCTGGTGGGTGGGCTCCAAGATCTGAGAGCTCGGGGGGGGGGCGGGAGGGAGTAAATAATGTCAGTACAACCAGGGATCACATCAGGAACAGCTGCGCTCTCTGATCCCAGGGCCCCTGGGAGGCACACTGACACACACGGCATGTGTGAAAGGCTGGAGGGAGCCTGCAGTCACACTGTGTACTGAGCTGCATCCTGCACACTCATCTTGGCACATCAGTGTTATCAGCGTCAAGGGGAGCCGTCTCCGATTAGATCTCCATCAGCAGCGGCACTATAACGAGGCAGGCACCCTTTTCAGTCATGAGGGGCGTTGAGCCATGCAAACAAAAAAAAATACTGCAAACAGGCAATAGGAAGACAGTCTGCTTTCGCACACACCCAATGCAAATAACCACCCTGACCACGTCCGCTGCCGGCTGCAACAGTGTAAGCAAGTGCGCCCCCTGCAGCTGGAAACCTCACATCACCGCCTTGCAGACTCCTGATCGCCGCAAGCTGAGCAAGGGAATCTGATCAGATCAGTGTTTGGCAAAAAAAAAAATAAGGCTGGTGGCCCAGAGACAACCAAAGACAGAAAAGGCGACGCTCTGGTGCCATCACAGCATGCACGTGTGTGTGAACAGTAATGGAATAACTATAAACAAATCATAACAGCAGGATACCTTTTATCTTGACCAGAAGAACGCACCCTGTGCGGAAATGCTTTGACGGCTTAGAGAAATCGCTGTATAGATGAAGAACGTGTCCTAGATCTGTATTTACACTGTTGAAGCACAAGACCGAAGTTGCGCACTAAAGGAGAGCTGGG